AATATGGTTACTTTCTCCTGGTTAGCAAGGTCACATGAAATACCCTCAGGTTCATGCAGACAGAGGAAAAAAAGCTGCTGGGAAATGTCAGGGACCAATCCTATGTATGCTTCTTAAGATCTGTGCCCAGCCCCTGGACAGAAAGGAATATGCCAAGAAACCAAAAAATGAGTTTGGTACACAACTCAAATTCAATGTAAGCTTTTTTCAAAAAAAGCATGTAGTAAAGGTAACTTCTGTTAAGATCATACTCCCATCTGGATAGCCCTCATAGAAACAGACTACTCATCAGAAGGCAACAGGGGGTAGCATCCACTTCAAGTCCATACTATTGAAACCTAGAAAGATTTGGAATTGAACCCAGGGATTCTGCACAAACTAACAACAGCTCATCTACAGGGCTATCCATTTGCATAGTTACTACTCAGAACAGAACCTGACTAAGAATCTTTTATTTAAGATACTATGTAAGTGGAAAGCATTTTTGGGAATAGGAACTGAACCCCACTCTGTCAGATAGTAGTATACAGTCTCGGGCACCAAGCTAAGGGCAGTGTCTGCAACAAGGTAGCACGAAGTTATACCCAGATTCCTACTGCACTGTGGTACCACTTACACACGGGCTGGGGATGAGTGGCCAGTGATTTCATACACAAGGGTAAAAGGGCCTTCATAGAGCACTACTGAACTGACTGTTAAATGTGCTTTTAACTCTAAAGGAACACACTTAATTCAAAATCTAGCCAGGAATAATTTATCTGCTTACCATGCAGGACTAAGCCTCCAGCCACAGAAAAGCAGCCACTATCAAGCCATTCTTTGACACTAATGCAAACAGTAGCCACTGACCCTCTCTTTGAATCAACTACAGGAGTACCTTCTCCTCAAAGTCAATACAAATTACTATACAAGGACCAGAATCATCTCTTTCTCTGCAGTAAACATTGTGACCCTGAAATCTTCTGTTGCATATCCCAGTCATAGCTTATCTGAAACACTGTCATCTTAACGCCTTTGCAGAAAACCCTGTCATTTTACAAGCTCCATGACAGTAACGTAAGAACAGCAACACTGGGTCAGACCAATAGTCCATCTAGCCCAATATCCTGTCTTCCAACAGTGGCCCATACCAGATGCTTCAGAGGGAATGAACAGAACACGGTAATGTTGAATGACCCATTCACTGTTGTCCAGTCCCAGCTAGAGACACCCCCAGAAGATGGGTTGAATCCCTGACCATCTTGGCTTATTGCCATTGATGGAACTTATCCTTCATGAACTGCTCATTCTTTCTTGAACCCACTTACACTTTTGGCCTTCACAATATAGGTACTAGAGAAAAAAACTCCCACACAGAGGTTGAGGTCCTTGAAACGGAAAAGCTAACAGGCATGTTAAAAGACAAGACCCTCCAATTTGACACATTTTTGCTTTCAGTGCTGGTTTATGTAGAGTATGATACTTTTGGAAATACCTTTATGCTGCTAAGTACAAAGCTGCACAAATATCGCTTTTACCACCCAAGTCAACCATTCTCTCTCATCTACATAAGGACAGCTTTGTAAGAGGAATCTGATTTTTCACTGAAATACGTGAGCACAGCCCAGAGCCTAAGATTCGGTAGTAAGAGACCTCTGTATCTATTTTAGGGGATTGACAATTACTTTTTAAAGAGCCTATCGACTGGGAAGTAGAACTGAGGCCTGTCTTTCAAATGGCAGTTTAAAATACTAAGCACGAGGCCCTATGGCAGAGGCAAGCAAGACAGACTTTTGATCTGGCCCACCCTGCTGGGACTGGAGGAACTGCAGCTTCAAACTGCTCAAAATGACTGGCTGCTCCAGGGGGGAGGGGGCAGAGGGAGACTTTGCAGGCTGCCATCTCCCCCAACCCAATATTGCAACTCATTGGCTGAAACACACACACCCTCCTCTGCACATAGTGCTGAGAAGGCACAGGGAGGGAGCAGCTTAAGAGGCAACTGGGCTCTCCAGTCTAGCAGAAAGGGTTGGGAAGAATCCAGAGACTGGAATCTGAAGTCAAACAAACTGGAAAAGCACATTTTTAAAAATCAGTCGGGGGTACTGAAGAATTGGAACAGGTTGTGGTGGTTTTTAAATCAAGACTGGATGTTTCTCTAAAAGATCTTCTCTAGTTCACAAAAAGAGTTGTTTCAGGGCAGTCCCGTGGCCTGTGTTACACAGGAGGTCAGCTACTTCATCATGACCTTGGAATCTATTAATCGGGACCTAAGGCAGGAGAGCATCAAGGCATGGACCAAAATTCTGGCAGTCAGAACAGAGCACAGTGCAGTGCCAAGAGAATAGACTCAACACTGACTCTGAACTTTCTTCCTTTTGAGAGTTTAAATTAAGCTCTTAGGGCAATTTGAAAGTACTGATGCTTATTTCTAAAAACGTGTGGTGTATTTAATTGTGATTTGGCTCAGCCTATAAAGCTGATGTGTCTTAATACACAGAATCATTTCATCCAGATATGGGTGTGCTCTGCAGAAAGAATGCTTTGTAGTGGAAGGTTCACTCGTTCACTGAGAAATCCCCAAAGAGAAATTCCACAGTAGTAGCAAGGTTGCATTCACTTTTTCCAGAAGGCTGGAGCCAGTAAATAGTCTTACAGCTTTTAAAATATTACCTGGGGTTTTTAAAGAAGTTAAACGAAAATGGCTTTACCAGTGACAGGAAGAATGGGAAAATAATGTGTTTAAAATACAAAGATGGCTTCATAACAGAAACAAAAATGAATATTAGCAATAGTCTCTCTCTCTCTCTGCATGCCAGAAAAACTGAAGCCAGCCAGTAAGGATGGAATTATCCATACCAAAAAATAAGAGGCAGCGGGGAAGGGAAGACAGTCTCAGTGCTAGTGACCAGAGATCAACATACCAGAAAGTCACCCAGCACCTACCCACCCATTTACTAACATCTTTTCCCTGAAGAATAGTGATAGAGATGTAGCCGTGTTAGTCTGGTGTAGCTGAAACAAAATACAGGACTATGTAGCACTTTAAAGACTAACAAGATGGTTTATTAGATGATGATCTGGCCCACGAAAGCTCATCATCTAATAAACCATCTTGTTAGTCTTTAAAGTGCTACATAGTCCTGTATTTTGTTTAATCTTTTCCCTGTTCACGATAAACAGTCAGCTATTCAGTAGAGCCAACTAGAGCAGCTTCACTGAAATTGACAAAACTACGCCCATTTGCGTCAATGGAACGTGTGGCACAAAGTTCTATTTTCACATCCCATTCTGTTCAAGTTCAGTCACCGCATTTTCTCTCCAGCCTTTTTACATCACTATCTGTCCACTGTTCTAATTTCTTCAAGAACTAAGTTCTACCAAGCTGCCCTTCCCTGTTTTCTTCTGGAGGCTTGAAATGAATTCACTTTAAAAAACAAACACACACACAGTTGTTTCAGTTAGCTGACCTGCCCGTTTCTTTCTAAAGAAAGACAACTTTATCTAAGATCACTACACCAACATCCAGATTAAGGATGTAAAAGACTAGTCAACTATCGGATAAACATTTACTTATCGGATAGTATTCTGACTAGTCGATATTCCCCCCCCCCTGCCTCTATAAGGGGTACTTCAAAGTGGCAGCACCCCAAGGCAGAATTACAAAGGGGCAACCGCTGCACAGCTGATCTGCAGATCTGCAGTCTGGCAGGCTGCCATTTTGAAACTGGCACCTCTGAGCATTTCAAAGGCTCATTGGAGCCCTGGGTCAGCTGGGGACTCCTCAGCTGATCCCGGGCTCTGCACAGCACTTCCCCAGAACCCGGGATCAGCTGGGGAGTAGCATGTCAGGAGAGTCAGCCGGGGAGTAGTGTAGCATGGAGCCCGAGGTCAGTGGGGGACTGAGTCCCCTGCTGACCCCTGGCTCCATGGCTTTGAAATGCACAAGAGCCTCTGCTGGGTACTCTTGTGCATTTCAAAGCATGCACGCAGCATGCAGCCCAGAGTCAGCAGGACTTTTGGCTGGCCCCAGGCTGTACATGGAGTTCTGCATTCCTCCTTTGAAATGCAGGGCTCTTGTACATTTCAAAGGAGGAATGCAAAAGTAAGTGCCTGCCTATCGACCAGTCAATTAACTGCATTTTAATATCCTTAATCCAGACAGAACCTCAAGCTAAAATGTTGCCAAATGATGCCCAACTAGCTTGGCAGGACCTCGATACCAGAGCTGTCGGCTCAAAGCCACATTCCTTGCAGAGCCCCAGATTTAACACCGTTTATACTAGAGATGAAACAGTGAAACCTGTTTTTCAATACAGTATTTCCCCTTTTCCACCTATGCACAAATATAACCAGTAATTGCCTTTCCCCAATAATGTACCTTTTCTACATCTTGAAGTATAAGGGAACTAAACTGTGTTTGGCTAAAAATAATGTGAAGTAAAATTCTTTTAAAGACATTTCTTACCACCATTTCAGAATACTTGAATGATTTTTAAAAATCTAATTAATTTTCATAACAGCTGCTAATAGCTCTTTCACTTCATTCAGCATGCTATATTCAAAAACACAAGGCAGTTTCTAATAAGCTCCATGTCCTAACTTTCATGAATTAGCACAACAGTAACAGTCTAAGCCAAGTATTATTGAACAATGTTTTAATGTTAGCCAGAAGTTGCTTTCATTTGGCCGGCCAATAAAAATAATGAAGGTTTGGGGAGAGTTTGGGTTTGTTTTTTTTTTAAATTTGAGTCTGGGAAATCCTATCTCCACAAAATATAGCATTCTGCTCTGATCATCCATAGTCATACAGAGATTGATCCCATCCAATGGGTTTTTCCACTACAGTTTCTCCACTACATGGAGAGCTAACAGCACCCCCATCAGAAGGGCTACATTGATCAGTACAGAGCTTACAATGGTGGCAATGATGCCAGACCCACACTCAGAAGGGGCCCTGGACAGCAGCTGAAGGGACATGTGGTTTCAAACCTAAATGATCATAAACAGCTGGAACTTACATCCATGCCTGTCGTTTGTGTGATGCCATGGAGGGGTTTAGCCAGTGCTATTTTTCCACTCACTAAACTGTTTCCTGCAGCTGATGCCAGTATGTTGACAGTGTGACTGGGAAGCTGTGTGGGCCCTCCAGTGACAGCTATGGTTGGCTGGGATGCAGGATGAACTCCAGGACTCTGAAGCTGCACCACAGTAGACTGAGAGAGCACCAGTGGCTGACCTAGAATGGAGACATAAAGACCATGGTAACTGAGTGTTCAGTGGGGGAGAAGAAATGTGTGTGAAATTACCAATTTGTGGGGTGTGATCTTGATGCGGAGATAAGGTGGGTTTCACTCCTGAAACCACTGCTCCCTTTGGATTGAGTTTTTAAGCATCAATATACTCTCAAACAAAACTCAGTTCAACAAAACAAGTCAGCAGGTTCTATATTGATTCTCTCAACTTCATACCTGTTTATAAACTAACACTCTTAAACTAGCTCTTCCATCTGCCACATCACAAAATTAATTTGAGATCAGACAATCCAGATGTACTTTTTCTGCCTCTTATGGTAATAACTGGTCATCAGATTTTGCCCTAAGAATTTAGCTAGCAGTTTTGCTGCTGATAGAACTCTATTCTGCTTTGTCTCCCACAACTGCTTGACCCCTCGAGGCTCACAAAAGTAAACACTTGTTGGTGTCACTACAACTGACACGTCATTAATTCTGTAACTAAAGTATAGCACTTTATAAATATTAACAACACTATTAAATAGTCTCTTTCCCCACCACATTTGTTATTCCTCAATAAGAGATATGGACACCAATTACAAACAGAGTAAGTGACTTCCCCAAGGATACCATAAGAAATCTGTTGCAAAGCCAGGAATAAAAAATAGTTGAATTAACTCTGGGAAAAAAGATTACTCACCATCAAACGCAGCTCTTCAAGAGTCATCTTTGCACAATCACACTCACAGAATTCAATGCAATCGCACTGAAATTATCTAGAACCTATTGCTCCACCAGGGCTTGTACAAGCCCCACACAACGATTGGTGCTAGCCCTAAACACCTCAGCTCCCATCTAAGCACATGGAGGGAGCGCCGAAAAGGGGCACCCAAGCATTAGCTGCTTCAAGGAGTGTGGGGCACAGAGTCAGGTGGTTAAGAGAAGAATACTCAGTTATGTAAGTACGGGGATTCTGCAATGCATTACTGTTAGCATTTGGCACCACTTAAAGGTCCCTTTTACTAGTTGTGGTTATGTCGCTACATAAAATCTTTACTATTGTGTCTGATAACAAGGTAAGTCCCCGTCTCCTCAAGGACATGGTTCCAACTAAGCTGGTACTCAGCTACACAACACACTGGCACAGGCTGCCTTTGCTAGCTAAGACACAGGTATAAGTTAAGGCAGTAATGCAGAAATCTACAAGCCACAACATCTGTAGTATAAGAGCTTTGACAAGGCCTATGGCCCAAAAAGCGTAAGCAGCTGACCAGGAGTAACCCTAGACCAGGAGATACACAAGATGAAATGCTGTAATAAACAAGTATGAGAAGTGCAGACAGGTAATCACAAAATGACAATTAACTCAGGTAGGTTAAGTCTGGAGAAGCAGCAGATGTCAGACCATAAGAATGCCATGGCTTATTTGCTAATAAGCTCCTGTACCCCTACATTAGTAGGGTGAGGAAATACAAGCAAGGAAAAAGGGCTGAAGCTCCCACTCGACCTGCACTATGGGAGTCAGTGTAACAAAAGCTGTTTCCCAGCCTACATGCCCTGGGAGATGGCAGCACGACAATCTCAGGTGGGGATGATGACTGGCTTTTTCTGTAAGGCTTGGTGAGAGTATATCAATTCTCAGACATTCTGACCATATTCTATTATTTATCTACTTTGCTGGGCTGAAGTGTTTGTGATTTTGCCAACTGCACTAATAAAAACCATTACAGAGACAGAACACCACTCCCAAATGTAAGCATCTCCTTTGTGCGCACTGGGGCCTCGTATTAACTGTAATATCTCTGGTTCTGGTCACAAAGCAGAACACTGCCAAACCACAGAATGCAAATTATTACAAGATCGGGCAACACTGCTTCATGCTATTGTCTTGGTCTCCAAAGCCTCAGCCTCCATTAAAAACGGATAAGGGGCAGTTTTCCAGCAGTTTTTTCAACCAATTTTAATCAATAGAAAAACTGATTTAATTCAAATAAATCCCTGCACCACTTGAAACACTGGAAGCGTGGAAACTTCAAACGACTGCGGAGATCGCCCAATGCTCTTGGCTAAGGAATATTCATCTAACATCCATAGATATTAAATGTATGCATCTTTGGAGCTGGAATATAATGTTCAGCTTGATAGGGAAGGTTACTAAGCTTCCTCCAGGAACTAAAATTGGTGGGGGAAAAGAAGGGAGGAAGAAGAAAGGGAAAGTTGGTATTTACTGCAGAGCCCAAGACCAAAGAAGAGTTCAAATTGGGTTCAAAAGACCAGGAGGCAAAGAAAGGGCACAGAGGAACAGCCCAAACTGCCTCAAAGTACCTTACTCTGATCCAAGAAATGGCAGGAGATTGTAAATCAAGAGGGCAAAACCCTGGAAGGTCATCTTGAGGAAGATGGACAACACATGATACGCTTCGCATATGTGTAGACTTACTATTTTAGGGTGGTCTCAGAATTGTTTCTTTCCTAAATAAATGTACCATGTCCTGTGAAATCTGCCTGATAAATGACAAAAAGGAGCTCTGCATCATTCAGTGCATGGGACGGATGCTGCTGAAATAACGACCAGCTATTCAGTAATTTGTTCTACTGCTTATGGCCACCAATTCAAACACTGCTCTGAAGACAGAACTATTCATTTTCTGAAGGATTTTTCTATGCTGATCACGACAGTACCTAAGTAGTTCACAAATACATCTCAGCATATCTGCAAATCAGACCCTAACTGTGTGGGTGCCTCACTTTCTGGCTGCCCAAATTAGTGACCACCGGAGAAAGAAGTGTGGTTTAAGTGCCCTGACTGATATTCCACATGAACCTTGGGACACAGGCAGCAACAGAATCCAATTTGTCTTGGCAGCTTTCAACCGCCTTTGCCCTGAGGCCATCCTTTCTCTTTATGCAATCCGCTGCCTCATTCACTAAACACCTCTAACTCCTACAACAAAGGAGGGAATGCTTGTACAGACAGCAGCCTCTTTCACTCCACAGACCTGATTCACATATAGGACATGTGGATCCTGTGCACTGAATGAGGCAGGGTTCTTAGTACTGACTGTGAGGTTATAAATGTGCCATCTTGGATACACACCAGGGGCCAAGTTAAAGCTGCATGACCAATTTTAATTTTGACATTTCCTACCATGAGTGCTTGCCTCTGCAACCTTATTTATGTGTTTTACTGTTGGTTTGTGGAATTTCTTTGCTTTTTTAAAAAAAAGCAAACTGGAAAAAACAAAAATGCCATTAGGTGGCATCATCCTGACAGGTGACTCTGCAGCTGCGTTAATTTTGATAGAATAAGTGGGCCCAGATCACCATGCAAATCTCTGCCTCTTGAACTAATAGAATAAATTATCACAATAGTACATTCATTGACCCTCCGTGGCAAAAAAAAAAGGGGGGGAGGGCACCAAAGAGAAGAGCTACAAAAGCATTCTCAAAGGCCTGAAGAATGTGTCACTAGTCTGGTGAAAAGCAGGCTTCAGTGTCGTTGGCACTTGGTCTCTGATAAGCACATACAAATGGAGTCTAGAGACCATCCGGGAGAAGAATGGAGACTCCTTCAAGTGGACGGTGAAAAGAACAAACTGCAGACAAGTGCACGCAAATGGATGTTAAAAATAACTTCGTTCTTGAGATGAGTAAATTAGCACGAGTGCTGCATAAACTGTTGTTAGCTGCCCATAAGTCAATCTTTTTTCCACTTCAGTGTAATGCTTGAGAATGGCATGTTTTCTGGAGAGCCCACATTTCAGTAAAGCAGGACAATTCATCTCACAGCACCAACAGCCAGTTGAAGAGACCTAGGGTTGGGTTGTAATGTCTTATGACCAGAGATTTTGTGAAGAAGTTGACAGGTCTGCTCTGCATACCAGAAACATCTGATCCACGCTCAGGCTATCAGGATCTCACAGGCACTGTCTGGTCCCATTTTCCTGAGCAGCCAAAAGACCAGTTGGATCAACTTGTACTGGAGCTGCATGTTTGACTCTCACAGAAAGGAGTCTATTAAGGTCCTCTTGTCATCCCTCACCAAGAGCAACGCAGGGGACACAGAGTCAGTCCTGGCAGCAAAGTGATCTATAAAAGGGGAGGACCCAACTTGCTAAATAAGAGTCTGACCTCACAGGCTGTTTTAGAAAGCATTCATGCTTTCTCTAAGTCTCCAGGAGATCTTATCTGCCAAATCACCCTCCCTTGCTAGATGAATACCAGATATGTTGTGTTTTATGCACAAGCATGTCGACTTGCCACTTCCTTGCACATGGCCTGGGAACAAGCACTTCCTTGATTATGAGAATACAGGAAGTCCCCAACTTACAAATGGGTTGAGTTCCAAAAGTTTGTTTGTAAGTCGGTTGTTTGGCCCTTGGAATGTATTCTCCCATAGAAACGACATGTGGCAGTTGGATTCCCAGGCTAGCTCACAAAAGCCTATTTAACCCATAATGTAGCTGAAATACTGTACATTTACAATGTAAAATAGAAAAAAAATCACTTTTTATTTAACCTTGAATGACAGTGCTTGAGGAAAGGCAGGTTTAATTAGAGGAAGAGTTAGGTGGAAATTCTGAAGGGGACTTCTTGGCATCCCCCTGTTGTGGGCTCTGCTCTGGCTTCTACAGTCAGGCCTGTTCCACAACTACCCTCCTTCCTTCAAGGCTGGACCCCGCCCCCTTCAACAGGAGGCAGCAAGCACAAGCTGGAGGACTTTGGAGGAGAGAAGCGGTTGTTTCCCCTTTAAATGCTGCATCTCTTCAGCCACTGGCTGCACGACAGCTCCCCAGCTCTTGTGGCCAGCCCTTACGCTGCTCACCTAGACTTTTGCCTGCTCCTTTATGGCAGTAGGTGAGCTTTTGTTTTATGTGTGTATGTCTGTAAGTCGGAGAGTGTCTGTCCAGAACTATGGTGTTGTCCATAAGCACCCGCTCTACTTTTCCTTTAAGCTGAACTACGATGGATTTCTGGGCCCAAGGGATGGTTCACAATTCTAGCAGATTGGTTCCTCATTGACTCCAAAGTCACTGGCAGTGCATGACAGACAACTTGGATGCATCTGGATGGTTTTTTGCTGAGGGAGCTGGAGGAATGCAGGAGATTGGTCAAACTGTACTCTATGAGGCTTCACCAACTTAGCTGCTTTGGCTCTTCAGAGAGCTGGCTGTCCACACTGAATCATTACTTCAGGGTCTCACAACTGTGGCTTGAGACAGGTCAGGGTAGAATGAAGACTAGGCAGTTGTATCTGTCTACAAAGTACTTCTCTAAATCAAAGAGATTGGGAATATGCATCCATCTTGGGAAAAGTCCTAGGGCAGGAAGTGCTTAATTTAAAATCCTAAAAGGGCATTACACCAAGATAAAACTAAAAACGGACAAAATCACTTAAGTTAGAAAAGCTCTAAAATGTCTAAGTCCTCTCAACTCAAGATATGTCTATGCTCCAATTAGAGATGTGACTGCAGCCCAGGCTGACATACCAGTAGTAGCTTGAATCTAGCTAGCATGACTAAAATAGCGTAGATGCAGTAACACGAGCTTCAGAGTGTACTTGCACTAAACCTGTGCCACACTGTGGGCTTCTATTTTTACTTGTGCTAGCTAGATTAAAGCTTGTGAAGGTAAGCCAGCCTATACGACCATCACACCCCCGACTGCATAAAAATGTTAAGGGATACAAAAAGCAGCAGCGCAGGGGGGCAGGTGGCTCCCAGGGAGCCAGTGTGCTCCCTGCACATACTGGGAGCCTGAATGTAACCAAGCAACCAGGCTCATTGGTTAGCCTTGCATATGGCTACACTTTCACATTCCTATCCCAAATCTGTAGGAAAGTCACTTTGATGGCAGAACTATGTTGTCTGCTGTTATATGAGTGCACTGATCAGTACTCAGCATAGTTCATATGCCTCTGGGTAAAGGCCTGGAGCCAGAATTCGTCATGTTTGTTAACCAGTTGGGAAACCATATGAACATAAGATGGAGCAGAACAGTGTTTCTCAAACTGTGCTCCGTGGAGCCCCAGGGCTCCGCGAGACCTCTCCAGGAGCATGGCAAGGTTGACAAACTGGAAACATCAATAGGAATAACACATACAATCAATCAGTGGACCGCTGGGACTCCGCATAAGTGTTGACGCATGTAAAGGGCTCCAGAGCCCAAAAACTTTGAGAACCGCTGGAGTAGAAAAACAATAGCGATTATAAAGAAGTCTCACATGATCATAATGCAGGACAATGTAGCACTTTAAAGACTAACAAGATGGTTTATTAGATGATGAGCTTTCGTGGGCCAGACCCACTTCCTCAGATCAAATAGTGGAAGAAAGTAGTCACAACCGTATATACCAAAGGATACAATTAAAAAAAAGAACAAATATGAAAAGGAAAAATCACATTGCAGAACAGGAGGGGGATGCAGGGGGGGGGGGGGGAAATGTGTTTCCTAGACAAGTCTGGATAAACTAGTTCCCCAAAGACAACAAAGATGGGCTGATGCCTCTAGCCAGGTGTCATCCAAGTCAATCACTAGGCCGGGATGGCCAACCCGTTACAGTGCAAAGGTCCAGGGGGAAAAGTTGTCGACTGCCCCTTTAAAAGAAGCCCCCAGCTGCGCTTTTGGTAGAGCAAGAAAAAAAGGCCTGCCCCTTTAAGAAATGCATTTAGAGTCTTTTGGGCCACATCAGGCTCCCGCCGTCCAACGCCATCTTGAAGACGCCATTTTTAATGGCCATGCCGGACAGCTCCCCTGCACCAGCAAGCACAGGGAGGCAGGGGCTGTTTTCAGGGGCACAGGGGCAGCTTCACGAGCTGCGGGGGGCGGCTTTGCAAGCCGCACCTGGGAGGTGGGGGGAGAAGAGCCACATGCTGCTCAAGAGCCGCGGGTTGGCCACAACTGCATTAGGCTAAGTTTATGTCACAGATAAACTTGGGGCTACAGGACTGGAGCTGGCAGCCAAGCAAGACAACCTCGTCAGGTTACCCCTGCAGGGGTCCCACAACTACTAGCCAGCACTGTGGTGGGGGAAACCATGGAGCTGCAGCAGCAAGTCACAGACAGGTCACAGTTCTTATTTTTTTGTTTATTGCCTGAGACCTGTCAATGGCTTACTAAAAAATAGCCATGACAAAATCTTAGCCTTAGCAATCACCAGTCAAGTGACCATTTCATTGGCAAGGAATGGGGACAGTAACAGACAGATCTGCATCTTCACAAAGAGCATGAAACCTGTTTCACTGCAAGACTCCTTGTGTCTGTCCTCGAAGCAGGAATAAACTTTATCTGAGATAACCCTCAAGAAAATGCATTTCCAAGGGGCCTGGACCTTAAGAGCGAGAGGGGAAAACATCCCGATGTCTCTCTTTCAACATAAGGCAACAAAAGAAACAGCCTTTGGACGCAGATCCTGGCGACAAGGTTGGTCAACAATGGTTCTACAAATATATGCTAAGGATTTCACCTTGAACCAAGTCTAGTCTGTCAAATTTTAGTACTAGGAAGCATCTCATCTTCATTTCTTGTTACCGTTTCTGACTTTAACAACTTGTACCCACTTAAAACCCATCTCTTTGTAGTTTAACATGTTTTATTGTTTAATCAAAACGAATCCACTGATGTGTTTAAATGGAATTACCCACACAATGCAGCTTAAAGTGGCAAACAGTTAGATATCGATCCCCTTAGAAGGGCAATGGATTTAAGAGAGCTGAAATGAAGGCAGGGGACTGGACTCGATGACCTCTCGAGGTCCCTTCCAGTCCTAGTATTCTTTGATACTAAATGGACAGGAGAGGGGCTGGACTGTGCAGAACACAAGTATTGGGATGTGGAAGTACATTGAGTTACCCTGGAAGCGTTAACCAAGGTTGGGGGAAACTAGAGAGTGACTGGAATGTGCTGGAAGGCTGCAGCTACAGACAGACACTCAAGTGGGACCTGCATTCAGTTAGACTATTTATGAGGAGCCCACCGTTTAGAAGCTACAGCAACAAGCCATTGTGAGGCATCTCAGATTGCAGGGCAAGAGTGACAGCTTCTCACTTGCCTGGAATGCACTCCTGAATGTCCTATCCCTTTCTCTCCCCCCACCCCCAGCTCCCTGCCACCCTCACAATCTATTGTGTCATTCACTTCTGAGGTGTAGACTCATCCCTCCAACTGGCCCATGAGTCCATCTTCAATTGCCCTCTTGTTCAGTTGTCAAGCAAGTTATTCTCAGGCACTATCTGGAATAAGATGATGCAAAGATCTTTTTCTGTACAAGTAGAAATGTGACAGCTGTGGAAAGGAGTGCTGCTTGGCCCTTATGAACCTACGGTCATATTCCCCCTTCCCTTGCATAGCGGTCAGGAGTAGGCCTTAAGTAGAAAATATTACTGGGGAGGCAAGGATCTAAACCCAGCTAGAAAGTGAACATTTAGTTCAGGCAGTCTGATAAATCTAGGCAAATGATATTTGACCAAAAACCTTTCTGCCAGTCTCTCTGGCTTTAGCCTAACTCCTAGTGGAAAGCATTCAATAGTGAAGACCGTTTCTTGGATCTCTACCAAAGCATTTGCATACACACAAATCAAGTTTTCACATTTCCTGCTTTTTGCTGTGTTCAAAGCATTTTTAGTTCAAACAGCAGCTGAACTGTAAGTATCTGTCACCATCTGCTGGTCAAAATATGCAATTACATGAGATTCAAAGAAACAGCCACCATCCCACACAATGCCTTTCCGAATTTGCACGGTAAAATACAGCTCACTGCTCATCAGTGAAGACCGAGCCCACTTTAGCAAATAACAGAGAGAGTATGGCAGCCAAACCCAAGACGGCAGAGTTTAGGGCAGGGGTCTCATTTGGGTCCCACACAGTTCCACTATCTGGCCTGCAGGCAGCACACGAGTCTCTGCAGAACTGGGGGAGGGGGTCTGTACCCTTCCCCCATGCCTAGCCATGATCCGTTCACACCCCTGCTCTGCCTTCCTGTCCCTCAAGACCCCACCCCTGAGGGGGACAGCCTCAGGGATTACTTTTTGGGGGGCCTGGCACAGGGCAGCAGCAGGGGTCGGGCTCTCCCACTCACCAGCGGCGGAAGCAACACAGCAGCCTCTGCTCCACTGCCATCTCCCAGGCCAGCCCAGTCACTCCATTTTACTGCAGTAACCGCTGCTGAGGTGAGTGTAGGGGACCCAACCCCTGCTGCCAACCCCAACCCACCTAGGACCCCATGGACTAACCTGATTATGGGGGACTGTCCCATCCACAGGATGGCTGGGGCAGCTGCCACAGGGCCCCCCCAAAGCTAGGGTTCCAAGGCAGTTGTCCTGAACCATCCCATGGTCGGGATGGCTCTGCACACACCTCCCCTAGGCCACAGGGACTTGCTGACAGTGGCACAGAGCTAGCAGCCGGACATGACTCTAGTCCCACTGCGCTACCAGTCCCGTGCTGGGAGTCAGCAGCCTTGAGCAGGGCTGGAAGTGGCAGCTGGAGAAGGGGGGTGGGGGGGATTGCCAGCTCAAATGCATTGGAAGTGAGCAGCTCCCTGGGGCTGGAGCAACCCTCTGCATGTGATTAACCCTGGTTAACTGTTACCCAGTAAGCAGCATCCATTAAGGTTAACCACTTACGCGTTCACATCCTTACACATAATGTGGCATTTTCCCTGTGTGTCTTGGAAGATAAAAGAACCCCTCTCAACCCTGCCCCACCACAACTAGTCATGTACCTTTAGCAGGAGCCGACTGGATACTAACAACTGGCTGTTGCTTCGGCAGTGGCAAAAGTGTTGGAAGAGCCTGAATAATGATGGCTTTGGCCTGAATGCCAAGGCTTGCTTGAGCTTCAGGTACTGCAGGCAGCAAGAGAGGCTTGGGTTGAATGGAAGGTTTGGACGTTGTCTGACTTGATCTTTTTGGAGTCCTCACAGGGCTGTTTGCTGGGGAAAGAACAAAGTGGAGTTGAACCATAAGCTCTAAGAGCAAGAAATTTATACTGCTCTGGGTGAGGTTTATTGAAATCTTTATCCATCTACTTATTAAAATCAGCCTCATACAGAAATGGACTTATCTATCAGAAACAAAATCCAGCCATTTCCCCCCAAAAGGCATTGCCTCATCTTTGATCCCATCAAAGAGACTGTCCAACATGGGTTTTTTTCCTTCTAAAGCTCTCTCCAGCTAAAGGAAAAGGGAGTAAGGGATATTAAAACAAAAACCTCACAAAACACTTTACATTTCAAATACTTTAACCGTTTATTTGTCTTCTCTTTAATAAAAGGTCAAAGGTCTTTCAATAGTGTTTGCCACAGTACTATGCATGCTGCGCTCTCTGGATATATAAGCACAGTCATACTGGGCCAGAACAATATTCCAACTAATCCAATGGCCTGTCTCCTGACAATGCTTCACAGGGGTCAACAAGGACAGAGCAATTTAAGTGACTCATATCCTGCCATCCAGTTCCAGCATCTGCCAGTCAAAGATTTAGAAACAGGCAGAGCATCAGGTTGCCACCCTGCTCGTCTTAGCTAACAGCCACTGATGGACCTATTCTCCATCAATTCTCTCTCTTTTTGGAACCCACACTTCTGGCCTTCTCCTGGCAACTAGTTCCAAGGTGGCTGTTCGTGTGAAATACTTCATTATGTTTGTTTTCAACCTGCAGCCAATCAATCTCCTCAGGATTCCCCTGGCTCTTGTGCTATATGAAGGAGTAAATAGCACTTTAATTCATTTTCGCCACATCACTCATCAATTTATAGACCTCTATCATATCCCCCTCCGTCATCTATTTTTAAGCTTAACAGTCCCATTCTTTGTAGTCTCTCCTCAGAAGGATGCTGCTCCATGCTCCTATTTATTTCTGTTGCCTTCCTCTGTAGTTTTTAAAATTCTAATATATCCTTTTGAAATGGGGTGACCAGAAAGCTGTCCACAATGACTCTGAATCTTGTTTAACATTGGAGAGTGACTTGGTTATGGTAACTCCTTTACCTCATATATTCTATCTAGTACAACAGGCAACACCACATGGTCTAAGCAAGCAGATCACTCTTACCAGACTGTATAGCACAGGAAGGGTTTTTTCTCTCTCTCTGACTTCCAGATCTCTTGCTGTACAGAGAAAGAGGAGACATCTGGGAGTTGGAGCTAAAGTCCAAGTCTTCCTGTTGACAAAGAATATAAAAAATAAAGGACAAATCCTTCTCAGAATACAAGAATGTGCTTACAAAAGCACTCAGAGGTGGTCAGGACAGACTCTGCTACTAACCACAATTCTAATATTACACTCTTCCTCTGTTAAATGTCAGCGTACAAAGGGCAAGTCAAGATCTAGTCTCATTATGCTAGGGGTTCTGGATACACAAGATACTCCTGAGGATTCTGAAGACTAAAACCAACAAGGAATGAAAGAGTGCAGCAAAGAGACCTGCCCAAGTTTCCCAGCTTCTCGAAGACCAGAAACAAATTCTCTGGAGTCCTAGTCCAAGGCTACTGGACCATATCCAAGTACAGATTTCCAAGTGGGCCCCTGTGACTTCAATGGGGGCTGACCCTCTACAACACACTGAAGTACAGAGCTCCCATGTAGAGAGAGCAAAACAGAGCAGTCAGCGTGATAATCTACAGTTCAAAAGACCAGTGTGTCCATCTCACAGGATTTAGTGTCCATGAAGACATAGAATATCAAACTTATATTTGAAACAAAGTTTATCTGAAAACTTGTTTCTCATTACCAAAGAAACCAAATCATATTGGATAGCTGTTTTAAAGGACCAAAGACAATTTTTTTTAAAACCTATTCTCTAACATCCTCTAGGGCTTTCAAATGACACACACACTAACACAGCATGCAGCCAACATGCTTTGTTGGTAAAGCTAAGATTTAATCACGGGTATTTTCATTAAGAGTCAAAAACAGGTCATGGAGAGTAAACAAAAATTTTCAGCCTGTGCCCTGTTCATGACTTCTACTTTAAATACTGCAGACTAAATCTTGCTGCTCTGGAGGGGAGGCTCTGGGATGCTGCTACTACAGCAGAATTTAAGCTGGGACTGTTCCTTTCATGTAGATAATACAAAAGTCAGTTCATGCAACATAACTGTATACACCTGATGCACCAGATCTTTACTACTTACAGGCACATGCTGCACCGAAGAATCTGATAATGGTGAAGGGACTGAAGAGACTGAAGTAGCTGGTGACTGAGGCTCTTCCTTCAAGTTTTCATCTGCAAGAGAGCAGTAAGTAGGTTTTCACACTATGCAAACTTCTAACAGTAGTTGAGCTCATACAGGAAACATACTGTTCAATTCCCATCTGTCAACTTTTGGAGTAAACCACACAAGTTAACACAGTAAGGCTACAGAAACTTAGC